TAGTCTTGTTTTCAGGCTGCTCTTCTATATACTATGGTTAGTGGTTTCTGCTTGCTTCCCCAAATGAGATTATGATACCATTTATCATTGAATATGGGAACTCTCTGAATCATGTTTGAATCCCCATCACTTAATCTGTGCTCAGCAGACAGTAGTTATTCATTATATTTATGCTTTTGAATAAGGGGGTATGAGAAAGGAGGTCAGTTGGAAATTACTTTGAATGATGGAAGAGAGATAAAGGAAAATGCTGTTCTGACACCAGATGTGTGAGTTTTCCCACACCACCCAATTCAGTTCTCTGTGGACACTGACTAGGTATTCTACAATTTAACTCATTTCTGGCACCGACTGCCCCAAGTTAGAACAGACCCCGCAGGTTAAGGGCTAAATCCCACAAGACTGCCCCCACTTCAGATGCCGGTTTCAAGTCCCAGGCTGTCACTTGTGTTTCTGACCAACCGGCTATAAATTGTGGGTTCTGATGACTCCCTCCTCATGTCTGATAATTTGCTAGAACAGCTCACAAAACTCAGGGAAACATTTACTTATATTTACTGGTTTATTATAAAGGATATTATAAAGAATACAGATGAACAGCCAGATAAAGAGATATATAGGTCAAGGTATGGGAAAGGGGTACAGAGCTCTCATCCCCTCTTTTGGGTGCACCACCCTCCCAGTACCTCCATGTATTGGAAGCTCTCCAAACCCCATTGCTTAGGGTTTCTCTGGAGGTCCTGTTATGTAGGCATGATTGATCAAATCATTGGCTATTGGCGATTGAATTCAATTCCCAGTCTTCTCCTGGAGGTCAGGGGGTAGGGCTGAAAGTTCCAGCCCTCTAATCACATGGCTGGTTCCTCTGGCAACCAGCCCCCTATCCTCCAAACATCACCTGTTTAGCATAAACTTAGGTACACCTTAAAGGGGCTTATTATGAATAATATTTGGGAGCTCTGTGCCAGGAACTGGGGACAAATACCAAATACATATTTCTTACTACATCACAGTATCACAGGAGATTAATTCTGATTTCACCCAGGGAAAGTGAGAAGCTCCTAACCATGCTTGTTCTCCATGGGAAGATTATACTTCATTTAGGAAAAGTTTTCAAATGGTTATTTGTTGGGTGGCTGGGAAGGAAAGAAGCTAAGATGCATGAGGTCTGTTGTTGGATGTCTAGGTAGCTTGGGGAACGAGTTTCAGCAGATGAACTCACTGGTTATGTTTTTTACGTGCCTCACCACAGGAGTCCTTGATTCTTGCAGAGAAGCCAGTAGACTCTGCCATCACTGACACAGAGTTCCTATAGAGATCTAAATCTGCCCTTGAACCCATAGCCCTGTGTTTGTTGTCTTCATTGCACATAATTAAAAGTTAATATTTGAAACTAGTGAAGTCAAGCAGAAATAATGACTTTCACTTACAGTATCAAGAGGTCATAGCTGACCATGTGAATAGACATCACACTCCTTCCTGGGCTCCCACCCACAGGGTGGGTCCCAGGGCAGGTGCCAGTTCTAGCCAGGCTTCTTCCAGATGGATCAGGAGATAAGCTCTCAATGGAAATGCCAGGACGGGGCAGGGTGTCATTTGGCTGTGTGTAGGGGGTTTTCTTTTTCTTCCTTTTTTTATAGTTTTATGGAGGAATAATTGGTGTAAGATAAATGACACATATTTAAAGTGTAAAATTTGAACTGTCTTGACCTATGTGGGGGAAACCATCACCACCGTCAGAATAATGAACATATCCATCACCTCACCAATTTCTTGTACCCCCTTGGTAATCCCTTCATCCCTCGCCTTCCCCGACCACCTTATCCCTAGGCGACCACCAATCTGCTTTATATCACTATAGTGTATTTTGCACTTTTTAGAACTTTATACAAATGGAATTATAGAGTGTGTGCATGTGTGTATTTGTTCCTTCTTTTCAGTTCAGCCTTAGGAATAGAGAAAGTTCAATGAATGTATCCTTGGGACATATTTGGTTTGTTGAGGGTAAGGTGAGGGTAACATCCCAGGAGCTGAGCTGACTCCTTTGTCTACTTGGAGTTGGTAATCTTTGGTCAGACTTTTCCTGAACAGAGGCCAGGATTTAATATTACTAAGCAGATTGGAGGCAGGAGGTTGTTGTTGACTTTCCAGAAATCATTGGCACAAATGCCTTTAGTGTCTTTAGCCTTTGGGGCTTCGTGAGGTTGCGGCATGATTGAGATAAGCATGGAAAATTCTGTTCCAAGATGTTTCCATGTCACTGGAGCTGCGAAGGGCAGACCCCATCCTGTCACTGAGGGTTGGAGAGCTGCAGGAGCTGTGAGACCTTCACTTAGCCCAGAGCCAGAGCCCTTGTTTGGTTTCCCACTTATAAAGGCTCTGTTTCCTCTTGCCTTGGGTTGTGGGATAATTGAGTGAAGGTGCAGTCTAGAATATACAAGTGGGAGACTCGCTGAATCCCTGATTGACCTGCAGTCATAACGATATGCTGGCCTGGTCTAATTGTTTGTTTGTTTGTTTTTTTATGGTGAATAATTCTATATCATGAAGCACTTTGGCCTTTATCCCTGCCCAGTCATTCTAAAATGACAGGGCACAGGTAGAGCATGGGGCCCCTCCTCTCCAGCATTGTCTGGGCCTCACACCTTCTCCCCACCCTGTCATAGTTGAGCCTGAGCCAGAGGACCATAGAGGGTCATGCACCCCCGCCAGGCCGTGCACAGTGTGGACGAGGATGGCAACTCCCAGTTTCCCAGCAGGCAGCCGCAGAGGCCTCCTCTCCTCTTGCCTCATTACTTTTCCCCACCCTTGATGGAAGGCAACTTGCAACTCCTTCCAAACTGAGGGACTGAGCTCAGCTGACATTTCAAGAGACTCAGGTTTCAGGCATTTGCTCCCTCAGGCTGGCCAGCTCCAGAAGGGTGGAGACAAAGCGGGAATGTTCAGACCCTGAGGAGATCAGGAGGGGGCCGTTAGGGGGACAGTGAGCACCTGGCACTTGGCCAGGGTCCTGCAGCGAGGTCCCCCAACAAGTTAACCAGGCGCCCTCATGCCTGTTGCTCAAGCTCCTGCAAAGGCACCAGAATGCTCTAGGTCAAGTCACTGCTGAGCACCTGGAGCCCAGGGCCTGGCCAAGGGACATAGCCAGGGCAGGGAGGGCTGGAGAACACCCATGGAGCTGCAAGAAGAGGTATAAGGAGTGGGGGAGCTGTGCCTAAGGTCTGCTGGTCTGTTCACCTTGGCCTGATTTTGTCTGCCCTCTTTCCTTCCATCCTCCAAATTCAGCCGCCTGAATTCCCCCATCCTCTCTCATCTCCCATCCCTCAGCCCCCAAAGCTTTCTTCTCAGGTGCATTTTGCATGAAAGCTTTCTAGGTTTAACCCTCCCAAAGGGTATGTCAAAGGAGAAGGTTAGCGGTCTGTATCTGCACAGTGGTTGTGCTGGCCTCTGGCCACGTGTGGCTATGAGCACTTAGGATGTATCTGATGAAAGTGAGAAAAAGCTTGATTTATTTTACTTCAATCAATTTCAATTTAAAAGCTGATAATTGGTTCAGGTTTTGGAAAACTTTTAAGCATGTTTGGAGCAACTCGGGCATGTGAATCGGCTTTTTCCACTGTAATTTTGTCAAACCTAAACACAGATCAAATATTTTCAATGAAAATTTAGCATCCGAATCGAGCTGTGCTGTTAATTTAAAATACACACTAGGTTTCAGAGACTTACTACAGAGAAGAATGAAACTATCTCATATCAAAATATTGATTACATGTTGAAGTCATAGTATTTTGGATCTACTGGGCTTTATAATATATTACTAAAATTGATGACACTATTTTTTTCCTTTTTGGGGTGTGTGGCTACCATAACTTTAAATTTTCACCTGTCTCGCATTGTATCGTCTTATATTCTATCCGACTACATGCTCTAGATTGTATATATAGCTGCATTTACATGAGGAGGTAATGGCCAACCTGAGGAAAGACTTGAGTCTCCCCTGCCAATCCATGGCTCTTGCCACCACATGCCCCTGATCATCAGCCCCAAAGAATCTTGAGTTCAGGGAATGGGGAGCAAGGGTATGAAAAGGGGGGCAGATGATTTCTGTTGCTCACTCCAACCTCGCCCCCTGCCGCCCCAGCCCCAGTGGGATGGGAGCAGGTGCAAAGGAATGAGAGTTGCACAGCCACTGTGGGGGTGCCTTGCTCCACCTGTCCTTACCTCTGAAGGATGTTAAAGGGGGCGAACTGAAAAATACCTGTGTTCTGACTGAAGAGACCATCAGAACCTGGACGGTTTATAATGTTTCTATTCTAAAGCTGGGCCCACTGTTTTATCACCTACTAGAGCAAAATTACCCTTGGACAGTTCATCTGTTTCCATCCTTGGGCAACTGCAGTGAAAACTGGAAGATTTCCTAAATAAACAAACAGTGATGGTGCCTGTTTGTAACCTCTACAGGATTGCCTCTTCCACCAAACCAGAATGTGAAATCTGGATTTAGATAAAAAATTGTATGGAAGATGATAGCATGTTTTGAAAAAAAAAAAATCCAAAATAAATAACAGGCAACCAAGAGAGGCTTCCAACATACTCTAAGTGCAATACCCAGTGAAGTAGAGAGACATAAGGCCCAGTCTTTATGTTCATGTCCTCTTAGTTAGGAATGCCTCCCTCTCTCCTTCCTTCTGTTCAAATTTGACTTCTTCTTTGAGGCCCAGCTCAGATACCCCCTTCTCTCTGAGCCTTTCCCTGATTATTCCAGATTTCCCAGCTCTGTTCGCTAAGCAGCTATGTGACTCCAGGGCTACACATACTATGGGCCTCCGTCCTCAGTAAAATGATTAAGTACATCAGTGTATTTTCCTTTGGAGCCAGGTGCTAAGACATTATAGACAAGTGACATTACTTACTCTGATCAGTTACCTGTCACCATAGACCGGGGACTACAAAGTGCTTTGCCAACAATAATGCTTGAACCTCACCTCCAAAAAAATCAGTCTGATGTGAAAAACATTTTATTTATAATTTCTCATATTTATAGTTTATGTCTTCATTACAATCATTCTTACAATAAATACAGAAGTGCTAAACAGACCATCATCATAGTGGCCTACGGTCCATCCGAGGCACAGGGACAGAGGGATGCTGTAGACCCTGGTGCTTCCCAGTGGTGCTCAGGAGGCCTTCAGAGAGTTTAGTGAAGGGGAAAAGAATTTAAGGTCTGAACTTGAAATGGGATTAATAGTCAATGCAGCAAAATCCTAGAATGTCTCTTAAGGAAACAGGTATAAATTTTTACTATTTTTACCAGATGATCCTAAAGAAACAGAACAAAGAGACTCAAACTCTCCCATTAGTAAGAAACAAAGAAGCCAGGGCCTTCCCTGTCCTTTTCCCACATGGGCTTTGTTTTTGTGATCTCTACCTATAGTGCACCCAGCACAGCACCTGGGCCTTCTACGGGGTGCGAGTGAGGCAGAGGAACTTCACATGCCACAGTGCTGGTTTCCTTCAGTGGTGACTGGTGTTGGTGGAATGAGTGAGAACCTGAGGAAAGGCTTCCCAGTTTCCAAGCTTGGTCCCCAGGAGCCCCATAATGATTAGCAAGGAAGTTGACAGTGTTGATTCTTGGAGCCTTCTGCCTGCCTCCCTAGCTTTGCTTTATCTCAGCCACAGGGCAGGAGAAAATGCCACTGTTTTCATGGCCTAGTCAATCTCCCTTTTTATGAACAGCCATTGTGCCAGCTACAGTGATCTCGTTGTTTTCTTGCAAAATTTGTCCATAAAAGGTAGAGAGATAGTCCCAGGACTCTGGATTTATGTTGGTTTCTGATTGGCAACTTTGGGCCAAGGCCAAGGAAGCATCACCTAATTCACAATGCTCTGTCATGAGGCTTGTCCCTGCTGTCATTTGATCAGCATCAGGCATGCTAATGGCAAGGTGAAGATGCCACCCCAGGCTCCGAGGCTGTCAAAGATCCTGTGCACACACATGTCTGAGTGTTCATTAGGTCTTCTGTAACTCAGTTTAGCAAACTAGCTACAAAGCCATGGGGCTTGCCACCACTACAAAAAGTCATGATGGTAGAGAAGGGAGAAGACTGTTCTCAGAGTGAGAGGGAGGAGTAGAAGGAAAAAGATGTTATAAAGAAACCTGTGCTCTGATAGGACATTCCATGCTGTCAGAATGAGACCAGGAATCGAAAGTTCTCTGTGAACTGCAAGGTGCCGGCCATGAGAAGTTGGTGGTGGAGGCTCCTTCTCAGTCATGGAACTAACTGGTCTCCAAGGGGCTCTTACATCTATTAAAGAGTTAAGTCTTCTCAGAAACTGTGGCTTGGGTAGAAGATCATGAAGCATCTTTGTAACATTCCATTATTATTGGTCCCTACATACCATGATGCCCCCACCCTGCACAGATAACTTCCTGCTTTCATAGCTTGAAAATAGATTTTAACCAAGCCATGACTCAACATCCTCCAAGTCAGGGAAATAGGTACATCCCAATTCTAGATTGGCAGTAGGGACACCACCGAAGTGGCCAAAATGAAATCTGGGCAAGAGAAAAAGCTCTTCAGTGATTTTGCTTCTGCGTATTTCCTCTAGATTCAAAAGCAGTTTGGGTCATCTCAGAACTCGTGTCTACTCTAGGAGAGAGAAAGTAACAACACTTTTCAAGGAATAGCCTAATTATTTATAAAGTCTGTGAAGTACAAAGCATAACTGCGCCGCTGACAGGAGGTTGGGCTTGGGCTTAATATTCTGTCCTCACACTTAAGACTTGACAACTTCTGACTCCAGTTCTGACTCCGAAGTGAGTGCCTCCAGACCTTATGTGTCTTCTCATTCTGTTTCTCCAGGCCCATTCAATGCGTTTGACCCAAAGCACAGGACTTTGGAAATGCCTCTACTGTGTTTCAAAGAATATCTTTTGTTTCCTTTTTGTCTCTGACGCCTTGACCCTTCCTGTATCATTCTTCCTCCCAGGTGTAAGGTCAGACCAAAAGTTTTGTCATAGCAGAAAGAAATCAGAGGAAGAAAACAGTCCCTTCCCTGAGGAAAGAAACTGAGTCTCAAAAGCAAAATCTAAGCAGATAGTACACATTCTGGTCTGAAAGCTTGGACAAGAGGCAGAATTTCCAGGATCCTTGAAACCACACTCAAGTGAATCCCTGGATGAAAGTGTTTTCTGACCAAACCAATCACAGCCCCCAGTGGGTGACTTGGTTTGTGGCCCCAGAATCCAGACAACCTCATGGTCTCAGACAGATGAAGCAGACAGCTCAGAGTTCCTGCCTCTTTGGCGAGTTCTTGCCATCCACAGATCATACTGGCAGTGGCTGTGGCATCAGGATGGCAGGGCACCCACCTAAAGGCCCCCCATGGGTCTGGGGCATTTGTGGGTTGAGCTTCAGAGAACCCTCAGGTATTTCAAATGTCTAGGGAGCCACAGTGTGTAGTGTCCAAAGCAAAGTCCTTCCTTGGATGTGCCTGGGAGGTCTGGGGCCTCAGGCATGGGCCTCAGTCTCCTTCTTGATGGCTGGTTTGTAAATGACTCCTTTGTTGTCACCTTTTTTGCTACTGGAACAAGAAGAACACACAAGTCTCAGTTAAAGAGAAGAGACAAGCAGAGAACAGCCTGACTCAGCTACGGAATGAGATGAATTTTAGGGGTCAGATTCTTCTTGTGGGGACCTTTCCCCTGTTCTGATGGTCTTGGGAGGAATGCCCCCAAAATAAAGTATTAACCAAAAAGGAACCTGTTGTTCATTTTCCAGTTGTTCTCTTATAACAGCTGATGATAGTAGACCGGCATTTTGAAGAAGGTCTCATTACCACCCCAACTTTAAACCTTTGATTCCATAACAGGATTCCTGGAAATTTTTTTTTATACATTATAGAAAAATAAATTGGTTTTAGAAAAACCAAACATGACAATAAAAACATGAGCAAAGGCCATTAATAGCTAATGGAAGTTCCATTACCGGTTCCAGGCCAAGGCAAAGCTCTACCCGGTCACCTCGCTCTTCACCCACAAGTGCCGGAAGGATGATATGGAGCTCAGTGACTTGCACGGGAAGTAATGGCCACTAGCCTCGCTTCCCCACCTGCCCACTCCCGCAGGGCTCCCACCGCCCCCAGCTCCTTGATGGGATTTTAAACTTCACCTGCTTTTAAATCTTTTGCTTTGCAGCCTCTCTTCTCCTTCCACCTTCCCTCCTCCCTTTTGTACCTTCCCATCCCACCCACCCTCCCAGCGACCCCTTCACCCCTCAGATTCCCAGGGCGACATGAAACATGTCTGATGGGCAGGACAGGTGCAAACTCCACTTGTGGAAGTAGGTAACCATGACAGTCTGATTTCTAATGTCTCGAAGCAAGGGAAGCGGGTGGTGTGCAGGCCTCCGGGCACGAGTCCCACTCCCTGAGGCTAAGTTTTCTTGGAGCAACCTGTTCATTTTGGTGGGTCGTTGTGTGTCTGAATCAGCCCTGTGCTCGAGCCCACCCGTGCTGTTGCGCCAGGCAGATCATTCTCCTTTTCCATTGGGCTGTGGGTGGGCACCCTGATACCTCTAGCAAGAGGTTGACCATCTACCTCACTCATGAGAGGCATCACGTGGACGTTACCTGGTCTCTAGCAAATAGCTGACCTGGCTCCGGCCTAAAATCTTCCTCCTGTCTCACTCAGCTCTCTCAGAGGGTTTGTTGGCCTGAGTAAACAAGCCGGTGTTTGAAAGGGAAAAAAAAAAAAAAAAAAAATTTCCCTTCATTTTTTTTTTTTGAATAAAAAAAAAAAAAAAAAAAAAAAACCAGATGTAAAGATGTTAGAAGGAAGACAGCCTTGCTGCTTATGTTTAGGCAAATGGGACCTCCCCATCCCCAAATCAAGAGACTTGTCTTAAGGTGTTAGCCACGGCGGCAGGCTGGTGGACACACCTCCATCTCTGAGCATAATGATCCAGTGTCTCATGCAAAGGAGGCTGGGGGCCATGGTGTTTAGGAAACAGCACTACTAGGGTAAGTGTTGGTACAGGTGCTGGGGGCTATTCATTCTGCAGACTGCCTTCCCAAACAGATCAGTCCTCATGGACAAATAAGCTACCCGAATGCCATTTTGAACCAAACCAGCTCACCTTTTCTTTCTTCTGAAAAGCCAAATGGACACTGCCAGGACAACACAGATGCCAAGAACGCCAGCCAGGACCGCTGAAAGGATAATGCCTGGGGAAGAGGCAGTGAACATGCATTACACTCCCCCTTCCTTTGCGTCCGTCTCATCCCATGGCACTTGGATGCGAAGTCAAGTGACAGCTGTGTAATCTGCCACAGAAGGATGTAATTTCCCCATTTCTGTTCTCAGGTTCTGGTCTTTGGCTTAGCAGAACTGGTTGGAGTACTTAGAGCCATTTTCAAACTGTAGTCATTCTCCAGCAAGTGTTCGCAAACTTGCACCAGGATCATCTGAAGAGCTTGTTTAAAATGTAGACTTTTTTGAGCCCAAGCATCACAGACTCATTCAGTCTAGAGCAGGGCCCAGGAATCTGCATTTTTACCAAACAGCTCTAGCTGATCCTGATGTACATGGTTCATGAACCATACTTGGGAGAAACCCTGGGCTATAGAATAAGAACTTACTCTGTCTTGGCTTGCTGGAGTTAAGGACCACTGGGAAGCCTCTATCGGCTTTGCTCCCAAGCTCCATTGCACAGTCCTAAGTAGTCCAAAACAACCAGGGGCCCACTGCCAAGATCACCTAGCCAGTCACCCAACCTCCACACTGGGCTTGGGCCTGTTAGGCTGCAGCTTCCCAGCATGGCCAACAGAGGTCTTGGTTAGGCTCACTGAATGTACACATGCTGTAGAGTGATTAGGTCTTTCATTATGGAAGCATTTGATTGGCAGTTCATCTTTGAATCATAGAGTGATTTGAAGGTAGGACCCACAGAAAGGAGAGGGCCAGGAGCCAGACTGACAGCACAGAGAAACAGGGAGGATGGGCTTAGAAGACTCACAGGCCCAGATCATACCAAGAATCACAGCAGTCACCCAGCTGCAGCATGCAAGGCCGGCAGGCCACATACCCAGACTCAGTCCTGCGTACGTAAGGTCTTGCACTTCAAAGGGGAGAGGAAAAGGTTGAAAATTAACCAAGTCAAACCATGGTGGATTTGCCCAGTGTGTTGAGCGAAGCCCCACCTTTTGTCTGGTTGGAAGTACAGGGCTTATGCAGATTTTCTGGGTGCCCCATGGTATAGAGGGAATTGTGCACCTTGGCAATTCACACTGTGATCTCCCTCTCCAGTTCTCCTTTATCACAGCAGTCTCTTTGCTAGGGCCAGACTTCAGTTTTTAGTACAACATGGCTAAAGTGGAAGATGAGGAAGGGTAAGGATCAGAGTCTACTTGGGCAGGCTACTGTGTGCTTCTCGGATCCCTACCCCTCTTCATCGGTAAGGAATCGGCCAGGTTCTGGCAGGCTGGGGCTGGCAGGGCTTAGTTGGAGCCTTCGCTAGACTTCTGCCCTATCCCTATCCAGTCTTGTTGTCGTGATGGTTCTGTTTTTGCTTTGGCCTCACCGGGCAAACTGGAGAAACCCCTCCGTACCCGCCTCCCTTCTCTGCTGTGTAGAACCCTGAGATTGTGGCTTCTCTCCGAGCATTATTATTGGGATGAGTTAGGAGTCCTCAGCGGGGCTGAAATAGTGCCCAGCTATCTGAGGTAAAATCCCATAGTCAGCTTCCTAGGCACCTCCCTGGGGGACGGTCATGGGTGAGCCCATCTTCTTGAGTAACACAGAGGAACCCAGTCATGAAGCCCCCCTGGGTTACCCCAGCATGCTTCTTCCAGGTTCTTAGAACTACTCCCCATTCTCCCAGTTAGGTCCTCCATCTAAAGAAAGGCTGTTACAGATCCCCTCTTGTCTGGTGGTTTTCTGACCTAGGAGAAACTTCTAATGTATGTGCATATGTAGTATGGGTGCTTATTCCAGTTCATGTTGGAAGCCAGAGTTGTGCAGGTAGTGGCCACCCAACCTGGTACTCCGGAGAGCCTGTGCCCACAGAGCCCACTGTGATGACTCAGACCCTGGGAGAGCCCTGACCAGTTGTGAGACGCCAGCAGAGAGCCAGGGACTCACACTTGGGGCATGTAACACCCTGGAGAACCAGACCAGAAACTGCAGGATGAGGTTTTGCTCACCCCCTTTTTCTGCTGTGTGGCCAGTTGATCCCCCTGGAGCCCTCAGCCCTGTGCCCTTTCCCTACTGTCCTCTTTCACAATCTCATACGGAGCGTGCAGCCTCCCTCATCTGAGGCTGGCCGCTAGGAGTCTCTGGTCTGGTTTCCGCAGGTGGTCCCAGGCTGTTGTAAGGAGAAGCAGAGCAGCTGTGGAGAGGAGCTATCCACAAAGAACAGGGTGGCCTGTTCTCTTGGCTCTTGCTGGCCACCATCAGCAGCCCCTGGCCTCCCAAGTGGCAGAGTGGCTCCCATGGCCTGATTCCCTGCCCCAGGTCTCTTCTTGTAACCTGAACACAAGGACAAGCGTGTGGCTTAGGGAGACACTCGGGATAGGAGTCTCCCCTGGGGAGAGCATCCGGTGTTTGTATAGCATATGCTGTGTTCTCTGCATAGCCCGTGGCCTCTGCACACTGTAATTTGGTATTTGGGGTGTTTTTTTTTAAGGTACCTAGAGGCAACCCAGGCTTCTAAGATCTTAAAAACAACAACCAAAACCCCACAACTAGTCGTGGTTTCTTTTCCAAGCCTTTTGATGAAATATACTTTTGTTCTTTGTTCCTAAAACTCCAGATGCTGGTGGTACCAGCTAGTTTTCGCCACATAAGACCAATGGTAAGGGTGCCTGGGTGGCTCAGTCGTTAAGCATCTGCCTTCAGCTCAGGTCATGATCCCAGGATCCTGGGATCGAGTCCCACATCGGGCTCCCTGCTCTGCGGGAAGCCTGCTTCTCCCTCTCCCACTCCCGCAGCTTGTTTTCCTGCTCTCACTATGTCTCTCTCTGTCAAATAAATAAATAAAATCTTTAAAAAAAAAAAAAAAAAGACCACTGGTAAGCCTAACCACTTAGCTAAGCCATCCAAACTGGACAGTTTCTAAGTCGTTTCTTTCACGGTCACCTCAAACCTCTGGAGAGCCACACAGGCCCCCAGACAGCTGAGCAGCCCCACTTCAGGCTGGAGGAAGTGCCCCCAGGGAGCTCAGGGAGCAGAGCCAACTCTCCAGAAGCAAGGCCCCCAGGGATGGGACTTTTCCCAAGAGCCCGTGGCCCAGGTTGGTGGCTCATCTGGAGGAAATCTGGCTGCCCTTGGCTGAATTAGGCCCTATAAACAACGGCCTAATTTAATCCAGGCTCTAAGCAGGGCTCCTGGCTCCTAGATGACTACTTGTGAGGGCCTAAGTTGCCTCTTTGTGGAAATAATGAAATAAGCAAGCAGCCACAAAGACAAGGAAAGCCCCAGAGCCTGGGACAGATGCTTTTCAGCCAAGAATTTGATACAGCAAGGACAAAGCACCTTGACTGAGCAAGTGAAGAGCATGAGCCACTATGGAAGATGAGTGGCAATGAGGGTGTCACCTCATCAGAATTCTCCCCCTAAAGAAGCCCAGGGCAGGACGATGTCGGGATGCTGCCCCCTGCGAGCTGAGATGGCACCAGCCATCAAGGAAGCAGGACTTCTCTGCAGAGAGCGATGCAGCCCACAGGGTTTGGGTCCCATTCTGCTAACTAACAGGAGAGGGAAAGGCAGGGAGACTTCGGGGGGGCACAGGAATAGGCGTTGGGGCAGCTGAAGCAGTAGATCCCAGAGAGAGAAGCCAAAGCCTGCATCACAGCAGAGCCTCTGGGGTGTTGTAGAGAATAGGCAACACGGATGATGGAGGGAGGGACACAGCCAGGGACATTCATTTGCAGATTAAAAAAAGAAATGGTTTGTTTCTAATCAGCAAATATGACAGGCAGTTCCCACTGAAGAACACTGAGAACGGGAGCGACAGAGAGAGGCTGACTGACAGCGATGGCCCACAAGAGCCAAGTATGAAAACACAGCGAAGGGGCTTGTGAGCTGGTTGGTAAGAGGGCACATGCCCCACAGACGTGGCAGAGCTATCTGCTCTCCATAAAGCGCTCCAGTACGGTTCAGGGTGAGCAAAGACAGGGCAGTCTGACACAGAGAAGGAAATCGCACAGATACAGAAGAACCTAACAGATCCCTGAAGACAGGCAAGCCGTTTGCCCCAGGGTCCTCGCTACCTGTTCTCGCTAGCTCAGGAGCTGCACCCTCACTGCTCTCTTGCGGGACCCGGGGGTGCCGGTTAACTGCTTCTGAGGTCTTCTGAAGCCTCAGATGCACACACACAACAGCCCAGCGGAAGGGACAAGCACACCGCATTTACACAGCTTGCAGCTTCTGGAACAATTCTAGCATTTTTTTTTTTAGGTCTATTTGCAATTCTACTTATTCAAACAGAAAATAATCCTTTTCCTTTCAAAATATTATTTTCAAATATGGACTGTTTTAGTAAGTGACATCTTACATAGTTACATGTATGGATGTACATATGTATACATCTTATGTATATGTTTATGCCTTTAGCAGTCTCCAGTCTTATAAAAGAAACAAGAAGAGTTTGGGTTTAGCAGCGATTTGATAGTTTAAATACATAAAATCCCCTTTTGGATGATAAAAGCTCTTATTATTCTGCTTAATACAAGTCATAGGCTGAAGTAACTAAGATGCTGGCCCCGTCTTTGACGAGGCTTTGGTAAGAAAAGCAAGGAAGCTGCCCTCGGTGACCACAGAATAGAACTATCTTTGGAGAACATACTTAACTGGGGAGCTTTTCTTATTGGCACTAGGGAATCCCAAAAAGAAATAATTTCTACAAATAAATCTGCCAAAGAGATACCACCAGATTACCCGAGCGAGCTGGTTTGCGACAACCATGATAGGGACTGAGGGCTTTGCCTTCCAGATTGCAGGATTGCGGGCCCAGAAAGCCACGTTGCTCTGAGGGGCCTGAATTCTGGAGCAGTAGGCGTGGGTTACTGAGCTCAGTACTAAGGCTTAGTACTCTCAGCTCCCTTCCATGGCCAGTCTCAGGCTGTCTGTGCTGAAGGAATGGTAGGTGGTGGGACTGGGGCCTTTAATTCCTTTCAGGCCAGAGCAACAGAAAAAGCCTGACAACTTCCCAGGGCAACTCCCTCTC